AAAAAAAAGAGAACAGTTTTGGTTTTGCAATTTATAAGCAAAAAGAAAGAAAAAGGGGTTTCGTACGTAGCTTTACTACTCTTTCCAATTGTTTGTGGTCTTAGTGCATCTTGTTGCATCTTCTTCTTGTCGTCTTCTTTTGGTTTCCTCCTTTGCTAACCTTCTTCCCAATTGTCCATCTTTTTTGTGTCTTCTTCCATTGTCCTATTATTCCTTGATTTGTCTTGGTGGACCGTTACGGAGAAGATTTCTGATCATTTGTTGTTGGGCAGGCCATGGCAGTTTGATAGACGTGTGCAACATGATGGCTACAGCAACAAATACTCGTTCGAATTTAAGGGAAGCAAAATCAGACTTGTTCCTTTAACTCCGAAGGAAATTTATGAAGATCATATCAAGCAGGAGAAAACACATGAGGATGGCAGCAACGTCTTGAGTGACCATGAGGTAGATCACAAAAATGGAGAGTTCTTGAGAAAAACCCAGAAACAGACCTTTGAGAGCAAACCCGAGAGGAAACAAAAGAATTTCTTCATGAGAGCTTGTGAGGTTAAAAAAGCTTTGTTTTCAAAACAGCCAATCGTTGTACTTCTGTACAAGGAGGTTTTTTCTAACCTTAATGATCTTACTTCATCTTTGCCAAGTGTTTTTAAAGCTGTTTTGCAGGAGTACAAGGATGTTTTTCCCAAAGACATTCCCCGAGGATTGCCGCCGATCCGTGGCATTGAGCATCAGATTGACTTTGCTCCGGGTGCAAGCATTCCAAACAAGCCGGCCTATAGAAGTAACCCTGAGGAAATGAAGGAACTTGAAAGGCAAGTCAAAGATCTGCTAGACAAAGGTTATATGCGGGAAAGTATGAGTCCATGTGCTGTTCCAGTTCTACTTGTGCCGAAGAAAGATGGTACTTGGAGGATGTGCGTTGATTGTCGAGCAATCAATAACATAACGGTAAAGTATCGTCACCCTATTCCGCGTTTAGATGATATGCTTGATGAATTGCATGGTTCTTGCGTATTCTCTAAGATTGATCTCAGGAGTGGATACCACCAAATCAGAATGCGTGAGGGGGATGAATGGAAAACTGCCTTTAAGACTAAACATGGTTTATATGAATGGTTAGTGATGCCTTTTGGTTTGACTAATGCACCCAGCACGTTCATGCGGTTGATGAATCATGTTTTGAGATCTTACATTGGCAAGTTTGTGGTTGTGTACTTTGATGATATTCTTATCTACAGCAAAAGTTTGGATGAGCATGTTGATCATTTGAAACTTGTTCTGGATGTCTTGAGACAAGAGAAGTTATTTGCTAACGTGGAAAAGTATACTTTTTGCAAGGATAAGCTTGTGTTTCTAGGTTTTGTGGTGAGTGCACAAGGAATTCAGGTTGATGAAGAAAAAGTGCAAGCGATCCGAGATTGGCCGAGTCCTAAAGGTATTGGAGAAGTTCGAAGCTTTCATGGTTTAGCTAGCTTCTACAGGAGGTTTGTGAAGGACTTTAGCACAATCGCAGCCCCACTTACTGAAGTAATGAAGAAGAACGTCGGATTTCAATGGGGAAACGATCAACAATGCGCATTCGAGTTGTTAAAGGACAGACTAACCAACTCTCCCTTATTGGCTTTACCAAACTTTTCTAAAACGTTTGAAATTGAGTGTGATGCCTCAGGGGTTGGAATAGGAGCTGTTCTCATGCAGGAAGGAAGACCAATTGCGTACTTCAGCGAGAAACTAAGTGGAGCAACTTTGAGCTACCCAACTTATGACAAGGAGCTTTATGCGTTGGTTCGCGCTTTGCAAACATGGCAACATTACTTGTGGCCGAAGGAATTCGTAGTTCACACTGATCATGAATCTTTGAAGCATCTGAAAGGGCAACACAAGTTGAACAACGACATGCAAAGTGGGTAGAGTTCATTGAGACATTTCCATATGTCATTCGGTATAAGCAAGGTAAGGAAAATGTCGTTGCCGATGCATTGTCAAGGAGGTACGTTCTGATTTCTACTCTTGATGCTAAAATGCTGGGGTTTGAACACATCAAAGAGCTTTACGCTAATGATCATGACTTCAGAGATGTGTATGAATCTTACGCGTTATCTGCTAGTGGAAAGTTCTTTCGGCATGAAGATTATTTGTTTCGAGAAAATAAACTTTGTGTGCCTAACTGTTCCATGAGAGAATTGCTTGTTAGGGAAGCTCACGGTGGTGGATTAATGGGACATTTCGGGATCACCAAGACATTGTCAATTTTGCAGGAGCATTTCTTTTGGCCTCACATGAAACGAGATGTGGAAAAGATCTGTGGTGGATGCATTACATGCAAAAAAGCTAAGTCTCGTCTTCAACCGCATGGTATGTATACTCCTTTGCCCATTCCTAGTGAGTCTTGGACTGATATATCCATGGATTTTGTTCTTGGTTTACCTAGGACAAAGACTGGTAGAGATTCGATTTTTGTGGTTGTGGATAGATTTTCAAAAATGGCGCACTTCATTCCATGTCACAAAACTGATGATGCACACAATATTGCTTCTTTGTTCTTTCGAGAAGTAGTTCGACTGCATGACATGCCTAGAACCATTGTTTCTGATCGTGATGTCAAATTCCTGAGTTATTTTTGGAAAACGTTATGGTCAAAACTTGGGACTAAATTGTTGTTCTCTACAACTTGCCATCCACAAACAGATGGGCAAACTGAAGTTGTGAATCGTGTTCTATCATCACTTTTGCGTTCCATTGTGAAAAAGAATCTTAAAACTTGGGAAGAATGCATACCTCATGTTGAATTTGCTTACAATCGATCGACTCATTCCGCTACTCACTTTTCGCCTTTTGAAATTGTTTATGGTTTTAATCCTTTGACTCCATTGGATTTGACTCCTTTGCCATGTTCTGAGCATGCTAACCTTGATGGAAAAAGAAAGGCTAAGTTTGTTAAGCAGATTCATGAGGCCGCCAAGCTGAATATTGAGAAAAGGACGGAGCAATACGCAAGGCATGCCAACAAAGGACGAAAGGAAGTAATTTTTGAACCTGGAGATTGGGTTTGGATTCATATGCGCAAGGAAAGATTCCCAAAAGAGCGAAAATCAAAGTTGATGCCTAGAGGAGCTGGACCATTTCAAGTTTTGGAGAGAATCAACAACAACGCCTACAAGATCGACCTTCCGAGTGAGTATAACATTAGTTCAACATTCAATGTTAGTGACTTGACTCGTTTCCATGCAGATACAGAAGCAGATTTGAGGGCAAATCCTTTTCAAGAGGAGGGGAATGATGCGGAGCAGGATAGCAATGCGGATCATCTCGTCTTCTCGAGTGGACCCATGACGAGGTCAAAATCAAGGGAACTTCAAGCTGCTCTAAATGGCCTTTTTCTTGATTGTTTGGGCCAAAAACACATGGGAAATCAACTTGGATCAAGTCATATACAAGTCCAGCCCATTTTCAACATGATTTCAAGTGTGGAGAGCCCAAAATGAAGGCCCAAATGTTGCAGCCCAAGTCCATGACGAAAATCACTAAGGAATCTGCAAGTTCAAGTCTTCATGATGATTCCAAGGCATTCAAAGTCAAGTCCACTACATTTATGGCTTTGTTTTCCTATATTCCCAAAATTCTAGGAAGACTACATTTAATTCTAGTCTTCTATGTCTTTTGGATTTCTTTTACTTCTCCTATAAATAGGTGAGCTAATCTCACTTGTAAGAACACATCCTTGATCAATAAACTTGTGAGAGTATTCTCTTTTAGTTCTTTGTGAACTGTTTTGAACTTATCGGATTTCTATCCGTGGCGTTCACCCGACTTATCAAACGGACAGTCATAACCGTTTGTGGCGTCTTCACTATACCAAGGTTGCTAGTCACGGTGTTAGGTCTAGGTCGAGGCAGTCTTTTAGACTTGTGCCAAGGTTGATTCCTACCGGTTGGTTAGAGGTCGCGGTCTCCACCTGCCTAATTAGAGTAAAGGTCCTCGGTTCCGCATCAATTAAGGGTGGTAAGTATAGAGAACACCTTATCCTCTTGTGCTCGTTCCATGATAATCTTAGGATCTATAGAAGTTGGTCGGATCTCCTCAAGTTCAGCCCAAAGTGCACAAAACTCTCCTTGAATTTTGTTGAAGGGCTGATCATTCTGCTGCAAGTGAAACAGCTTTTTTTTCAACTAAAAAATGCGGCTAACGTTTGAAAGGTTACCGTACACATTTTGTAGCGACTCCCAAAGTGATTTTGCGGTGTCGTTGGTGATGAAAGATTGCAGCAGGAAAGGATCTAAGGATCCTTGAAGAATCACCAAGGCTTGGCTATCCTCCTGTTTCCATTTGGTGTGCTCAATGACACCTTGTTGAGTGCGGACCAAACGTTGTTGAGCATGTTCGGGGATCTCTCCTTCAGTATCCACTTCAGGTGGGGGAGGAGACCTTCGTTCGGCCGAGACATGCTCCAATAAACCCTTGCTGTTGAGGGCTGCAGTGGCTGCTTTGGTCCAATAGAAATAATTGTCACCATTTAGGGTGATTGAAATGAGTTTGGACTGAGAATCCATGACTGCACAAGGCGGAGTGTATGAGAAACGTAGGAGCAGAGTTTTGAGAGTAGAATAGAAGTGTCAATGATCTTTATGCTCTGATACCATGTAGAATTTTGTGTTTGTGGAAGAAATGGAATATGAATAATGAAAGGTACGAGATGAAGATTGATACGAAAGAGGAGATAAGAACGAAATAAGGATAGAGGGAAAATAACTCAGATTTCCTTAAGTCTCTATTTCTTATTTTAAGTGATACAAGATATCACCTATTTATAGTAGAGAAACTAGTTGTTACAACAAACATTTAATTAGGTAGTTGGGAAGAGAATTGAATAAACTAGTTGTTGGAGCCTTGCATGTCCAGGAGCATTTATGAGGTAGTTGGCAAGTAGTAGATTCCTGGTGTATGTTTCAATATGAACTCCATGGGCCTTTCTTGGGCCTGATCTATCCCATGTCATCCGATTAAGCCATACTGCAAGCTAGGGTTCTTGCTCGTCATTCTGCTCAATGATTCCTTGCTTCTTAAGTCTTCCTGTGTCATGCTTGCTACTCTTTTGCTCTTCAACAGAAGGGGCATTTGCTTCCTGTGGTGATCCTTCAAAATGATAATATGTCTTTCGCCTTGATCATAGTGATACAAAGGTATAGACTGATAAGTTTGGAATTCATAGGATCTCTTATTACGATGGTAATTGAAATCTCACTGCGTAGCATCCAAAACGTATGCATCATAAGAGAGATTGGGATAGTTTATCCAACCCGAATCATAAGGGTTGGCGTACGAGTCATTCATGAAATAGCTCATTGATATCGTAAATCTAGGTGTAGAAATATTATCAAGTAATAAAATACTAGACTCAACAAATTCGCAAGTGTACGGCGTGTGTAATAACTAGGGTCGAATATATGGACAAATAAAAAACTGAATCAAATTCCTATCAAAACTCGATCTAAAGAATAATATGGATGATGAGAATATATCAAAAGCAAATAATAAAATAAACGATAAACTATCAATGGCAAAACACTGTAGATTTCACGATTGTTTTATATACAACGATCTCTTCTAAAGATGCAAACTCAGTGGTTTGTAAATCCCATTCAGAGAATTCATGCTCTAAAGTAGAGATTAACTCTCTGAGTCTAACCTCACAATCCAGGCTTTATTTTACTAATCTCTATATTCAATAGTCTAAAACTCTTGATGCATGAATGAACGTTATCATAATCCCTAAGCAAATATCCATCTCTCAATACATACCTGTTCAGTTATTGAGTTATTTCCAGATTATAATCTCATATGTCTATGTGAATTAAAATCCTAAGTTCACTCAATAAAGTAGCCAACAAGATCAAACGCAATAAGATCAACTTAATAAATCGAATGGAATAAATAAATCCATAGAGTCTGGAATTAAAAATCAAATATCCCTACATAACAAATCCCTAATGATACGCACCTCGATCCAATTCACGTCCACGAACACAAGAAGATTTCGTACAGATTGAACAAATTCGGGTTTTCTCGGTAAACAAGAGATAGGTTGCGATTTATTGGATTTTTCTTTGGGATTGAGACTCAAACCTGAGGTTCTGATCGTAAGATACTCACTCTAAGTTTTAGGGTTGAAAATTGCAGAAGAAACAAGAAGAAAAAGATAGCGTTCTCAGACACACCAAGAACAAGGCTGGGACACACCAAGCAAGGGGATTTCTCGGACAAATCAAGAACAAGGACGAAAATACTCAAAAAGCTTTATTCAAAGATGATTCCCAATGTTACAATTTCGTGCTCTAATATAGGAGAAAGAAGAAGATTGCAAAAAGGAAAGAAAATAACTCAGCAACATGAAAAATGGAAATTGTCTCTAGCTAGAAAAGGAAACTTCGAGATTGTTTCTTGCTGAATCACCAACGGCTAGGAGTGGATTTGGCAAGAAGGAGATCTGATTTT